TTTATTCGTAGCGCTACCTAATTCCACAAGCTGAAAAGGACTGCGGCATAACGAAGGAGCAGGTTCAGCTGCAAAATGAGGCTGTCAACTCGCTGATCAAGGCGTACTGCCGGGAGTCGGGTGTCCGAAATCTTCAGAAGCATATTGAGAAAGTATGTTTGGCTTCTTGTTGTCTCTAGCATTTTCACACTTTTCAATTATTTCAGATTATGAGAAAGTCCGCTTTCAAGCTAGTGAACAAGGAGCAGGAAAACGTGTCAGTGACGGTGGACAATCTGCAGGACTTTGTCGGCAAGCCCATCTTTGTGAAGGATCGCATGTACGAGAGTACTCCACCCGGTGTGGTGATGGGTCTCGCCTGGACATCGCATGGCGGCTCGACGCTGTACATTGAGACGACGCTCCACCGAAAGCTGGACTTGGAGCCTCCAAAGGCGGCCGAGCCTGGCTCGCCACCGGCCCCGCCCGTCGTTGGCTCCTTCCAGCTGACCGGCCACCTGGGCGACGTGATGAAGGAGTCGGCCAATATTGCCTACACCTACGCCAAGTCCTTCCTCCTGGGCCGTGACCCGTCGAATGAGTACCTGCAGCGGGCGCACATTCACCTGCACGTTCCCGAGGGGGCGACGCCGAAGGACGGCCCCAGCGCCGGCTGCACCATGGTCACGGCGCTGCTCTCACTCTCGCTGGGCCGCCCGGTGCGACCGGATCTGGCGATGACCGGCGAGATCTCCCTCACCGGGAAGGTCCTCCCCGTGGGCGGCATCAAGGAGAAGGTGATTGCGGCGAAGCGGGCGGGTGTCACCACCATAGTACTGCCCGATGAAAATCGCAAGGACTTTGCCGATCTGCCCGGCTTCATTCAGGAGGGACTGACAGTGCACTTTGCCAGCCACTACGATCAGGTCTACGATATTGCCTTCAACTACTGAACGGGGGAGTGAAGTGGAGCTGAGGACATCATCATCATCCACTAGAGCTGCAATTATTTATACATACTTTTTAGTTATTTTTATATATTACACTTTTTCCAAAAGATTGCCTAGTAAAATATGGGTTTGTTTGTTGCCAGCAGAATTTGCGCATATCTTCTGACATGAGAAGCAAGGCAATCTATCGTTTTGTCGGTGTCACATTTCAGAACAGCAAAAAAGAAGAGACAAGGGGTGACCTTTTTTGAAGTGAGAGAGGGACAAGTTAAGTTAAGTAGAACCAGGCAGGGCCCACAACAAGTACTGCTAGTGTCGCAAACAAGTTTTTATTGTCAGTGTGTGGGTGACACCAGCACACACTTGCTGGCAATTAGCGACTTGTCTGCCACGGAGTGCCGCACTCTTTCTTGTCACTGTTCCTGCACCAATGAATGCCATGTGTGTTTGTGTGGGGGAGATTGCCAGGGTCGATGGTCATGGTCCAGGCACAGAATAATAAATGGACACTAAGGCAGCATGTAGAGCACTTGCTGGTAGTGGTCACTTGTAGTCTAGTTGCCGCCGAGAGAACTCGAAAATTCTTTTTCTTTGTCACCAAAAACTTCACCATTAAAACATCTCCCGCCATGGTCAACACCGTGTACCTTCTGATTCTGCAAGTGGTCTCGCTGGTGGTCTTTGTCTACTGCTTCGCCCTCCTCTCCTACCTGCAGTTGATCACCTTTGAAATGCAACATCGCCTGCTGAGGCACTTCAAAGAGAAGAAGTTTGAGGCTGAAAGAAAATCGATGATCAGCTTCAGTCGAACGCTCTCTTCGTGCTACGTGCAAATCGTGTGAACAGCTTTTTCTTGTTTCTGTCAAAAGCAAATGCAAGAATACAAACAAACAGTAATCATTCTAATCTTACAAAATGACATTTATAATTTATGATCATGTTTCCATTTTTCAAAAATAATAAAAGCGTAACAAAACAATTTCCGTTTCTAATCGATTGTCTGAAGTTCAGACTCTAAACTTAATTAATTTACCAAATATTGTTAGAAATAGATCGTCAAGTTTTTATTATTTGAAAACATCAGATCACTAGAGGCATTTTAACAGATTTATTAAATTTTTAAAAACTGTTTTAAAAAGAACCGCCTGAAAGTACTTTTGAAGAAACAGTTTGAATTATTCAGAAAACAAATTCAGTTTTCGTACTAAGTACTAAGTAATTTGTCAAAACTTAGCAAATGCAAATGTCTTCGCTTTGTCAACATAAACTTTCAAATAGTGGCGGCTCGAAAACTAGCAAAGTTTGACATTAATTACAAGAATAATTATTTTAAAGAGGAAACTTAAATTGCACCACAAAAAGCAATGGAGCTGACTCAATTCAAGCCGTATAAGGTTCAGGCAATCTCCGAAGTGTTCGACCTTCACATTGGCCATCTCATTCACTACCTTCACCGAACATCCTTTACCGAGTTTGAATACACGCATCGATGTGTGCCACTTAACTGGACCACACTGCGACGTTTTTTTCTGAAAACCGCCTTCAACTGGTCAGTCATTGGCAGCCTCTNTTGGCCATCTCATTCACTACCTTCACCGAACATCCTTTACCGAGTTTGAATACACGCATCGATGTGTGCCACTTAACTGGACCACACTGCGACGTTTTTTTCTGAAAACCGCCTTCAACTGGTCAGTCATTGGCAGCCTCTTCCTGCTCACCTTCTTCCCCGGTGCCGTACCAGCACTGCAGGTTTTCAATCTCATCTTTGGAAGAGCGCTAAACATCACCAAGGTGGACATGTTCAGCAGCGTCTACGTGTGCACCTTCTGCATCATCGAGGACGCCTCGCTCTTCTCCGTGTGGAAGCAGATTCACTACCGAAATGGAACGCTGCAGTTGCTATTCGAGTTTCGCAACAAACTGGCGCAGCAGTTCAGTGATCTCAATCGAAAGAAGGTGCTCCAGTACTTTACCTTCTGGAGTTACCTTGCCGGGCTGGCGAGCAAGGGCACACTTCTCGTTCTGCTCGTCTTCACTTCGAAGCTCAACCTCGATGCAGTCAGCCTCTTCAACGGCGGTCACATTTCGGCACTTGAGCTCCTCATCGGCATTGCGATCTGCTCGGCGACGCAGTTGCTCTTCTTCGAAATGCTCTTCATTCTCTTCACCCTCCTGACGGGAATGTTCCTCCTGCTGACCATATTCCGCATCAAACTGAAGGTGATGGTAGTGAACCTGGCGCTGATGAAACGGGCGCAGTGCCCGGCCATCTTCAGCCACTTCTACCGCCAGCTGATGTGTCTCAACCGGGAGGTGCGCCTCTACAATGACTGCATCAAGAACTACATCCTCGACCTGTCGGTGGGCTCCAAGTTTGTCACCACCTTCATCGTGATCTATATGGGCAAGCAAACGCAGCCGAACCTTTTTTCCTTTCTCTTCATGGCGATGTACATTGTGGTGTACCTGTACGACATGGCGGCCCACTTTAAGGTGGCCATCTTTCAGACCAAAAACAGGCTCATTTACAAGTACCTGACAGAGTACAGTGCAAAGGCAGTGGCTGTTGGTGGTCAAAAAGGAACAACTAAGTTGGAGGCTTCTGTCAACTGGGAAGGCTACATCCGACTGCAGATAAAGGTGGCTTACGCGATTGAATTCGCCTCCAACAACTTGATCGGCTTCTCAATGGGCAAAAACTACCTCATTGACAAGGATAAGGTGATTCAGTCGTTTATGCTCAACATTTACGTGCTGATACTTTTATCAAAAAAGTTGAATGTTTAATATTGTAAAGAGTAAAGTATGAGTAAAATTAATAATAAGAGTTAAATGTAGCTACTGGAAAAAGCAATGCCAGTTTTGGTGATAATGATGCTGATGATGTTGATGATGGTGCTAATGACAATAGCGTTAATGACCGTTAGAAATCTAGCTCAGAGTGGGACCAATTCAGTGAGTTGGAAATGGGAAAATGGCCACTCAAAGGCGATACTTTGCGCATCATAGAAATAGGTGTGCTTTGAGTGTAGAAGTGCTCTGAAGGATGCTCGAGAATTAACTTTTGAGCGTCCTTCATGAAGGTCTGCAGTACAGCGGTGCTAGGCGTGATGACAATGGTGGGGATCTTTTCCTCCTCAGAAGACCATTGCTTTAGGTTGGGAGTTGACGGCGACATTTCCCCAAGTAGAATGCGGCATATCTTGTCTTTGACCGAGGCCTTGCGTTCACTGGGAACCTTTGGTGAGAAGATGAAAAGAAGACAATCGATGATGGTAAACAAAAGGAAAACAAAAGATGAGGACTAACCTGTTCCAAGAGCGGAGCGAGACTGCTCATGAACTGAATGTCGCTCACTTCGACATCCAAGTTCAAATTGCTCATTGCTGGCCAACGAGCGAGCTTTGTTTTGAGCTGTGCAGAACAAGAGGAGTCCAAGTTTGCCAACGAACTTGAATGCTGTTCAAAGCAAACACGCAGATTGGTTTCATTCAGCAGCTCTTCAGTGTTATCATCCAGTGAGATTTTGTGGACTTGAGAGTCAATTCCGTACAGCTCCTGAGAATCATTGTGTGGAAAAGTTGATGTTGTTGATGATAATGGTGATAGTCCCTTGCCACCAGTCATCTCGGCCACCTTTGATCCGTTTAGCTTTTGCTTCTTCAGCACAATTGAGTCCTGGGCCATCGTCAAGCGGCAGCTCGAGCTGAAGCTGGATGTTGTTGTTGTTGTCTGTCGAATCGAGGAGGACAGATGAGCAATGTCAGCTTGGTTGGTCTGCAAACTGCCAAAGGAGGACCACACGGATGAATCCGAAGGAAGTTGTCGTTTCAGCGAAGACATTGTCGGGAAGTGTTCAAGATGAAGTTTTTTTCAAGTTGAGAAGAGCAGGCAAAGTTGTCGTCGTTGTTTTCGTTGTCCGCACTCTCTTGTTGACAGTGACCGAATGAGCTCTCCACAAATATTTAAATATTGGAAGTGTGAATCAGCGACACGTGCCCAGTGGACGTTTAAATGTCGTAAGCAAAACAACAGTCAACGGTCAATTAGCAATTCGTTACAAGAAGATTCTCTTGATCATTTCTCAGGAATCAGCAGCCCCGGGCGCAAACAAAGCGCGCTGCGCTGCGCAGCTCACAGTCGACGAGCATTCGTTTAGACGAGCTTAATCTCCCTTTCCCTTTTAACAGCAGCAGCAACAGCAGCACACTTAACTGTTGGCCCCGGTAAGATATTAGGGGACTTTAATTCTTCTGTATCTTTTATTTGCCCTTTTCTCGTAAACGTGTGCGTTCGTCGATGCATCGTTCTTTTTTGGAAAAGCTCCGTTGTAACAAAAAAAAAACGGAGAGCCTAGCATATGTTTTGAAAATGGTGTCTGGGACGATCAATTTTCTTCTCAGTCAATTGCAAAATGTAATAAAACTCATTTTAACATTAGAATAAATTAATTTTTATTTGTCATTGTATGTACAAAAAAAGGAACTTCGCATTAAAAACCGCAATTAATTAATAGTGTTAAGGATAAGTGCTACCAGAGCCAGTGAAGCGATGCACAGTGATAGCCATTGTGACTGGGCACCATTCGGATTGGGTGTCGACGTTGGTGGTTGTTCACTGCTTCCATCATTTTCTGTTGACGAATCAGTTGAACCGTCAGATGTGCTGCTTTCTGTTGTAGGGACATTTTCACCGGGTTTTTCACCATCATCTACTGTTGTAGGGACATCATTTTCTTCACTAAAAAGTATCTGAAAGCTTTTTGGATCTCTTCTTTGCACGTCATTTGCAACTGCTGGACTAGCATTTGTTACCTTCCAGTGGGACGTGGACAGGGCACAAATGGCAATAAGAGCCAAGAGCTGGATCACAAATTTAGTCATTTTCAGATGTGGAGAACTAATTAATTAGATGATTACACTGAGCAGGTGCGACAAGTTACTGTAAGTTGGCTTAAGATCACTGGGCAGCATGGCCGTTGTCCGTCTACGTTTTTATACGAGCAAATAACCGAAATGAATGTGTGTGTGCGTACAGGTTGCCCTAGTTTGCGCTAGTTTGTTATCTCTGCGTATCGTTGAAACGGCCACAGCAGCTCGACGCAAGAGGACATAAGGGTGGACACACCGACGATCTGTGTCATTGGAATGCGCAACAGGTGTGTGCGTGTGTGTGTGTGTGCGTGTGTGTGTGTGGTATGTCTCAATGCTGATTTATGGACACCTTTTTTTGGTGAACGTTTCTGGTTACGTTGCAATTGTCCCTCTTTTTCTTTCCATCATCTCCAACACTCTCTTCACTTGTCTGTCTTGAGTGACGTACACTCTTTCTCTGATCTCCGGCTAGACAGGCAGGGTGAATGCTACTGGCCAAGTACTAGTTAGTGTGCAACTGGGATGAAAACTACTTGGATGATTTATTGGTACGACTTCTCCAACTGGAGCATGACACCTTTTTCAAAACTTGAAAGTATTTTATTGGATAACGAGTAATACAGAGCGTTTTGAAGATAAGTGGAAATTGGTTTCAGCTATTATATTGATGGTAGAATGATAGCTGATTGAATTCTAATTGCGCCATTGGGTAGTGTGCACTGTGCACAGTGCAGATCTACCAACGAGATTGTGATGACTAAAATAATAACAGAGTTTGGCGGCTTTGTTTGTGGAAGGAAGGGAGGGAGAGAGGGCAATAAATAGTGTAATGTGAGAGTCTGTGTGATATTGTAGTATTGAGCAATCTAGAGAAATAGCGAGGGTAAATAGAAAGAAGTGTAGGTGTTTCTCTAGAGACAGGCATGGTGAGAGTGAGTCAGGCGCAGTTTAGACGGGCGACTCGGCGATCGTCTCCTCAACCTTGGTCAACGGCTTGTTGGCCTTCCCAGCTTGACCAACTCGAATGACCGACTCAGAGCTGCCAGTGGAGATCTTCTGGATGGTCTTCCCAACGACGACTGGTGAGTCGGCACGACGGCGAGGGCAGCATTGGGACTTGGCGTAGTCGATGAGGAGCAGGAGAAAGATGAGAAAGGCGATGCCGTAGCCAAGCAGAATGATGATCCCCTTGATGGTCTCCATTTTCTGGCATTCGGGGGTAAGGCACAGTTCAGTCACTGGTAAGGACAACAGAATGAGTGTTAGAATGGCAGGAGAATTAAGTAAAAGAATGGCAGCTGGTAATAACTTACCGTTGTTCAGCTCGTCGGAGGAAACTGGAAACGAGACCATGAAGTCATCGTTGTTTCCGCCCTTGAAGGAGACATTGAAGTCGCCGGGGGCGCCCGAAGCGTTGCCAACCAGGAAGATGGAGGCATAGATGATCCAGACAGCGAGGAGAATTCGGAAACGCATTTTGGTGTTCCCGAGTTGTTTGCGAGTGGTCAAAACTGGAGAACGGGAGTTTGGGCTTGAAGTTTTTCTGGTGAATGAAGAGCGGCGAGTCGACTGAACCGAACAGAGCGAGCGCACGAAGTGAAATGACTGTCGCAGCGGCGCAGCGAGCAGCCCAATTTGCTCGCTGCTTCGTTGCTCGGCTTGCTCGCCATTCTTTAGACCCTCCTTTTTTTAATTTTTTACTTTAAAGTCCTAGCTCAAATTACAATCGCAAGTTTTTTTATGCTCAAGCCACCACTGGTGCACTCTTGTGGCGCTGTCTTAGAAAAAGAAGTCACAACCGACACTCGCCTCAATTCCAGTGGATCCAAATGGCAGCTCTGAGTGCACCTCTAGATTCTTCTGGGAATCTTAAACGTCACTATTGCATCGGCATTGCTCACTGTTGAGCGATTTATGACCGCTAGACAGACAGACTGACTGACACTGGCAGTGTCCAATGCTAGCCATCCATCCATCCATCTCCTTCTCCATCAACGACGACAAGGGCAGTTAGAAAAAAAGGAGAGAAAAAGTTGTCGCACTCTACAAAGTCAACAATGGAACCTTTGGTGGTGCTGATGACATTGAGCCATAAAGAAGACAAAAGCGGATCTGAAGTTGGATGCACTGCTTTTTGCTAGTGCATCATCACAGTATTATCCTAACAGCAAAACGACAATCATAATAAACACTAGTTCAAGTGATCCCTAGTGTTCAGTGGGTGCACTTTTTGTTAGTGGCACTCTAAAGTGCCGCCAGTGGTTGTTGATGCGGATGTTCGGCTCGGTTCCGGTAGAAAGGGTAGAATGCCCCATGTAGTATTTGCCTACTTTTTTTACTACCATTACAATGCAATTAAAGATAAACTTTCTCTTGTTCGAAAAAGAGCGGGGGTAGAGGAGGACAGCGGCAATGCGACAGACTCTGGACAAGGGAGAAAGTGAGAGAGACAGACAGACTGATTGCTGCTGATAAGAGCGAGTCAGTCTGAGTGACACCAGAGCAACCAGAGAAAGAGAGAGTGGTGCAACAACTTTTACGTCGTTAGAGTGACTCCTCTAACAACGTTGCAACAACAACAACAGCAACGACAACGGTAAAGGCACATGTGTTCTGAGTTCTCGGAATCTTTCACCATTACCATTACCATCACCATCACCATCACCACTACCAGTGAGTAGTGTCAACAGTGGTCGAGGCCAGTCTGAGTCAGCCCCGCTGAGAAAAGCGGCAATCCTCAGCNCCAGAGAAAGAGAGAGTGGTGCAACAACTTTTACGTCGTTAGAGTGACTCCTCTAACAACGTTGCAACAACAACAACGACCACAGTAAAGGCACATGTGCTCTGAGTTCTCGGAATCTTTCACCATTACCATCACCACCACCAGTGAGTAGTGTCAACAGTGGTCGAGGCCAGTCTGAGTCAGCACCGCTGAGAAAAGCGGCAATCCTCCGAGCACATCTACCCTGCTGTCTGTGTTGTGCAAGAGAACACATTTGTTGTGTCAACAACAATTACCAGTTACCATGAAACCGATTGACCTCTACGTCATACCGCCCAGTCCGCCGTGTCGGGCGGTGATCATCGCCGCCAAGTACATGCAGATCAATGTCAACCTCATTTACGTTGACCTGATGAAAGGTTGGTGATCGTCAGAGGTTCAATTGATACTATCTAACTGTTTTCTGTTTTCTGTTTCAGGTGAACAGAAGCAAGATTGGTTCGTAAAGATGAACCCGCAGCACTGTCTGCCCACCATCAACGACAATGGATTTGTGCTCTGGGAAAGGTAAGAAAAAGAGCAAAGCACAATTGTTGAATGTCACCTGTTAATTTACGTTTTTCTCCCGTTCAGTCGGTCAATAATGACGTACATGGCGAACCAGTACGCCCCCTCCAGTCCCATTTACCCCAGAGAGGCAGCCAGTCGTGCCCTCGTCGACCGAATGCTCCAATTTGACCTGAACGTANCACCATCAACGACAATGGATTTGTGCTCTGGGAAAGGTAAGAAAAAGAGCAAAGCACAATTGTTGAATGTCACCTGTTAATTTACGTTTTTCTCCCGTTCAGTCGGTCAATAATGACGTACATGGCGAACCAATACGCCCCCTCCAGTCCCATTTACCCCAGAGAGGCAGCCAGCCGCGCCCTCGTCGACCGAATGCTCCAATTCGACCTGAACGTCCTCTACCGATCATTCGGCGAGTTCCTCATTCCCATCGTGCGAGAAAATAAGAAGTTGGCCAACCTGAATCCCACTAAAGAGCGTCGAGTGGAGGAGGCGCTGAGCTACCTGGAGTCGGTGCTGGCTGCCAACGCCTACGTCGCCGGGCCGCACCTCACCCTGGCCGACTTCAGCATCTACTACAGCATGGAGTTTACCGACGAGTTGAAGTACGACTTCANGAAAATAAGAAGTTGGCCAACCTGAATCCCACTAAAGAGCGTCGAGTGGAGGAGGCGCTGAGCTACCTGGAGTCGGTGCTGGCTGCCAACGCCTACGTCGCCGGGCCGCACCTCACCCTGGCCGACTTCAGCATCTACTACAGCATGGAGTTTACCGACGAGTTGAAGTACGACTTCAGCAAGTTCACGCACATCTCCGCCTGGTACCGGCGCATGCAGGTGGAGATCTTTGCCATCGACCAGAACATGCACTACAATGTCATTCGATCAGTGTGCAACTCGGCTGACTACGGTTATAAAAGTGGAAACAGCAACAGTTCTAACGGGAACAACTCAAACAACAACAACTCCAACAACAACAGCAACAGCATTGTCACTCCCTGCGACATTACCGACCCTTGCAGTAGCATTTGCAATCTGGACAAGGTCTGCATCGAGGGCAGCGGAGGTGCCGGCGGTGAGGGCGGCGGCGGCTGCACAAAGGTGATCTGCCGAGAGAACGACCACTGCAAGGTGGTGACCAACTACTCGACGAAACAGGCGGAGAACCAGTCCAGCAAAAGCCTCTTTGACCTGCTCATGAACACCAGTGAGAAGCTCTTTGAGTCGCCCAAATAGGTGTGTTTACAGCTTTTTACATTTATTTTCAAAAAGGTAAACAACAACAACAAAAACTTTACATATACATCATTATATTACAAAACAAAAATACACTAATTGATCTAAACTGTACAAAATTTGAAAAATCTAAGGTTTACCCCGATACTTTCTACTTCAGATCTTGATCTTGACTCCTACGAATCAGCCTGCATATGGGCCGCAATCCACCCGAGGTACTTGTTGACGTAGGTGTACACCCCTGGATAGCCAGCCTGAGCACAGCCATAGCCAAAGCTGACAATGCCAATCTGTGTGTAGGTGTTGGTGCTCTCATCGAGAACGGTGCTCGACGAGCCCGAGTCGCCCTTGCAGGTGTCCTTCTCTCCCTGCTCATAGGAGGCACAAAAAGTGTTGTTCCAGTTGAGGTAGATGGCGCTTTCCGCGCCCATCAGCTCGGTGTACGCCTTCTTGCACTGTCGCTGCGAGGAGATCGGCACCTGCACCTCATGCAGCAGAGGACTAGAAGCGCCGCTCGTCGGCGATTGCACTCCCCAGCCGACCATGTTAGTCATCAGGCCCACGTGACGGCCCTCGTCAGAGGCGGCGGAAGATGGGAGACAAACCGGGGCCAAGTGTTCATTGCTGAAATCGAGCGGCACCTTCAGGCGGAGCAGAGCAATGTCGTCGTTGTGGTAGGTGGGCGAGTAGTTCTCGTGGGTGATGATCTGCTCCACCTCGGCAAAGCTGCCGCTGCTGTCCAGGTGGTGGGCGCCCACCTTGACGACAAAGTCGGCGGCGGTCAGCGTCTGGAAGGGCCTCTTCACGCAGTGGGCAGCTGTGAGGATGATTCGATTGTTGAGTATGGTTCCGCCACATTGAAAGTAGTTGCGACCGCTGTTTACGCGGTAGAGGGCGGTGGCCCAGGGCCAGGAGTGGGGAATTGCTTCCTCGCCGCCCACAATCAGATTAGCCGTCTTTAGGGGTCGTTTTCCGCAGCCTACAAAAAAAATCAGGAAAATGATCTGTTTGTTTACATCAAATTATTTGCAACCCTACCTTCAACTTTGCTGGGCGCCACTTTGGTGGTCCGTAGCTTTTCAGTCGGACAACACTTGAGGAACGAAGACATCCGCCCCGGACACGGCGTCGGTGTTTCATTTCTGCCCAGCGTCGCACAGCTGCTGCCTATATTGCACTTCCCCTTAAGACCTAGTCGGGTGGCACAGCTGATGACTACGGCACCGCTGACCACTCTGTCGATAAAGTCGAGAATGCCCCGTTGATCAGTGGGCAGAAGGTCCTTCTCCTCGGGAAGGTGATCAAAGTCGATGGGCGGAGAGCCGTCAATCAGAGAGGTATCCCACACTGGATGGCACTGAATGGCGGTGATGGAAAGGCCAAAAAACATGAGCACAAGTCGAAGGAAATGCATTTTCTGGTGGTGTTGATTGGTTGTGGTGGTGGTGGTGGTTAGCAGAAGATGACGATCAAGTCAGGTAGTAAAATATAGTAAACCAAACTACAGTTTGAAGTAAACTTTAACTGTGAATTCATTTTCAGTCTTCCGATGATGACTTTTTATACTCCGACTGACCAGAGAGTAAAATTGCGCTCGCCGATTCATATGAAATGTAGCCAAACTCAGGTGTGATCCACCAGCCGCTGCTACCAGTGCTACCAGCGGCGGCGGCAATCCGCCGACACCTTATGACTGCCATAAACAGCTCGAATGGGGCCAAGGAGAAATAGGAAGCAAAAGTGAGTGAGTGAGTGTGGAGCGTTGCTGCAACAATTTAGGCCGCAGACGCAGAGAGGAGGCATACTTCAACTTGACCTAGGC